TGACAGTCATGTACATTGGTCTTCGTGAGCCGAAGTGATCCTGTTGTGTGAACCAGCTGTAGAGTAGGATAGTGTGGTAGAGTAGGCTGGGTGCTGTGCGCCAGACAGAGAGAGCGACTCTGGATACTGTGTTGGTGTGGCCTACGGCCTTGGACATTGGCTCAATACTTCATTGTATTGCTCTTTATGGATGGTTTTCTCAGTGCATTCGTACTCTACTTGGGACACTACTACTTGCTCAGCTGTGTGATTTCGCAACTTGGTTTTATGTATATCGCTCACTCTCATATTCCTTGCAATTTGGTATCGGAGCTGGTGATGATAGCCGCTTACCTCGCACCGGCGACATTGTGACTTGGTGCGCTGACGATGCTTCATGGGCAGTGAGGATACTTTGCGCTGGTTTAACAGCGGGGCCTAGGTAGAGAGGCCGGCCGCTGGAAGGCTGTGGCGACAACGTGGGAGCTGTGGCGACAGCTGGTGTACGCATGATGATGAGAGTATGCTGACATGGCATTTTGGCTGAGGTGGCACTACATTGGGATGTGGGTGGTACCGAGGCTATTGACCGGTCATCGAAATACACATCAGCCCAATTGGTGAGAAATCTGTGGTTGGGGGCAGCTATCTCCAGGTACGTTGTTCCCATTCCTTATCTACCCTCTCAATCTCTTCTTACCGTGAGGACGTGAGTCCAACTTGAGTGTCCTCTCTTTGGCGAGGAGTCGTGTGCGCTCTATCTTGAGAGACAACATTCTTCCCGGTGGCGCATCTGGCAGGAGAAGGCGGTGCCTCTGAAGGGCCCTGGTCGAAGCACGGGTCACGGTCACCATGCCAACCCATGGGTATTAGTACACACAGGCCATGCTGCTTTGTCCATTGAGGCTCTTTGCTGCGCTGATAGAAGGGGTGTGCGGACTGACCAGTCCTATTGAGATGCTCCCAGACCGTCTATAAACATTTCTGGTTGGGGTCTGAACTGTCCACTGGCTGTGATCGTCGTCCTGTTTGCGACGTTAAATAATTCCAGAGGAGATGGGGGCTCTCCTTAAATCCCTCCTGTTCAGCCAGATCAGTCAGACGTAAGGCCCGTTGCACGCGAGGGTAAACAAAGGGGCAGGCTGGTAATAAGCATACTTCTTGGGCACAGGGGTGGGCCGTGGTTGCACACCTTAGACACCGCAGCTTGATGATGCTCACAGGTACGTTGGATACAGGGGAAGGGGATTCCAATTGTGAACTCAATTGTTCATCACTGACATATCCATTGTGCATACATATGTTCACACTAGTCTAAGTTTTATTTTTGATTAGTTGGTTGACCGACTGCTGACACCTAACAGACAGACTAGAGTAGGACTGTAATCTACCATAGTCAGTTCTTCTCGAATCTTCTGTGCGGACTAATCAGAATAAGAGTTAGACAATGTGTACAGTTTGTGTAGATTCTGTTGATGCCGCTTGACTAGTCGGCTAGGTAACTCGCCGGACATTTATTTATTTGGTTATTTTTAGATCCGGTCAGACGCATGCTGTGGTAGGTTCCAGCGAGGACATTAGTGCAGACAGCGTCTGCCTAACCTATGAGTGGATCAGAGAGTGGTGAGGGTGCAGATGACGATAGGAGGTTAACAAGGCTATCATCCCTTAGAATTCCTAGAGTGTTCCAGACCCCACAACCGGGAGAAGAGAGAAGGTTAAGGGTTGTGCAAGGAAGATGAGCAATAGCGAACTTCAGCAATCAAACAGCATCGTACATATGAGTCCAGATAGTCTTGACCTCGAAGCAACAGCAGAATTGCATCACGAGATTCACCGAATAAGAACACACCAAGAGTTCATAATTGACAATGCTGAAATAGTCGCATCATCATCAACGAAGAACCAGAGTCGATATCCTATCAGGCGCTCGGCGCCCAGACTACATGTGGCAGATCCTATCTAGCCTATACTATGAAGCCTAAAGATGACATCAACAACATTCCCGAAGTACGCGCATATGGCGACCAATGTCGCACGCTTCCAGCACCAGGTATGTCTCGCGCTACACTCACAACCTCGTTCCCCAACTCACAGATGCCACTAGCACC